ATATTTAACTCTTGATAATTACGATCGTTTCTAAAGATATTATACAGATGAGAAGAAACAATTTCAGAATTTGAGATAGAACTACATAACCAAGTCTCAGATATGGCGATGATGTCATAACTTAAATCTAACGTGGCATTAAAAAATTCATTTGATTTATTTCTTATACTACGCACATTTTGGTAATATAGTGATATAGAAAAGTTGGGCCTTACTTGTTTAAATTATTTGAATCTCTGTCATTGGAACGATTGTTCGCTACCATAACACGCGGAATTCCCCTTATATATTTTATAATAAGACCTTCCTCACCCCCATTTTTTCTTTCTTGTAATTCTTGTCTGATTTTCTTGTAGTAACTACGTTGTTTTGGTGTTTTGTCCAGTGACACTCTAACATTTTTATAAATTTGATTTTCATTAATGATATCACGATTTTTCCTTATCCCGCGTAAAAGCTTTACCACTTGCTCACCATTTTCTAGGTAAACCCTCATCGGGCGTGGGGCAGCACGAGTGGGTTCAAATCTGCCTATTCGATTACATTTGGAAGAAATAATATCTGAAGTTTCACCAAATTGAAATAAGAAATTGTTTACGTAGTTCTCATCATTAACTTTCCTGTCTGCAGAGGACATATTAGAAGCCTGTTCAGGAACTCCAAACATAATCAAATTGGATTTTCGAATTTGGCGGTCGGTGACCTCCTGCACGACTTCTTCAAATTCGATAGCAGATGGTGTTTCTTTAACTTGCGATAGCTGGTTTTTTAATAATTCCACGGACTGTGATAACTTATCGATTATAATCTTTAATTCTGGGATAATTTCACAACATTTGCATTTGGATGCATTGGCATTAGTAGAGTTGAGTCCACGACACTCCAGACATTTCCAGTCCAAGCCTGATATGGTCTTCATTAATTCAAACTGAGCCTTTGATATATCCAAGCATTTGATATGATTATGCACACCACAAATACAACATTTCAAACTCGGAACTGTAGGCGTAATTGCTGTGTTACACTTTTTACACGAGGACGGCATCTTTATAGTTTATAATAATTAAATGCTTACGCAAAAAGTCACTAATAAGTGAGGAGCGAAGTGAACACGTCTGTCACTCTCGACTGTTCATATTTTTTATAAGCTAACAAGTGTTAAGATTTTCTCTTTCTTAAAAAAAGGACGACAAGAATCTCTTCTTCTTATGCCTACTAGAATCCTCAAAGCCCATTTCTGTATTCTAAATACTCGTATTGTTTCAGTTGCGGTAGATCTATACCAATGTACTACCCCATACATTAACACACTTTGGAAACATCCGAAGTATAATGACTTTAATATGTCTTTATTGCAATGGAGGGATGCATTTTTGAGCATAAAACAAACCTGAGGTAGTTTATTGCATACGTAATCTATATGAGATATCCAGGATAGTTTATGATCTAGAAATATACCAAGCATCTTTGTGTGCTGTCTAATAGTTAGATTTACATTAATTGTTTTTAATACATCCTGAATGTCTTTCACACGAAAAGTATGTTCGTCAAAAAGCACACAAGTGGTTTTATCTTTGTTAATGATTAATTTGTTTTTATTAGACCACACAGAAATTCTTTCGTATAAAGTCCGTACAACATTGAAAATGCTAATAGGATCTTTTTCTGTAATTATAAAATTTGCATCATCAGCAAAGTATACTTATAATATATTGCACGATGCTTCTATAAAGCTCGCAAGGTCGTTTGTAAAGATATTAAAAAGAATGGGTCCTAAAATGGAACCTTGTGGGACACCGACTGTAACTATTTTTGAATCAGAAATAGTTGTGCTTGCAAATACCACGCGTTGTGTACGGTTGAACAAGTACGATTGGAACCATTCAAGTGCTACACCCTGGAAGCCGTATCTCTCTAATTTCTGAAGTAATATAGTATGCGACACACAATCGAATGCCTTTGAATAATCTATAAAAAGTCCTAGAGTAATTAATTTATTCTCAACAGATGAAAAGATGTTATTAATATAATTGCTTAATGCAGCATCAGTTCATAGATTTTTTCTGAACCCATATTGAGTTTTATTAAAAAGTTTATAATTTTCAAAGTAGGATAGAAGTCTATCATTGACAATGAGTTCAATTACTTTCGAAATACTGGACAGCAGACTGATCGGTCTGTCATTGTCTACCAGCCGTGGGTCTCCTTTTTTTGAGGAATGGAATAATGAAAGCTGTTTTAAGGGCATCTGGAAAAATGCCTTGAGGGAATGACAAATTTATTATGTGGACAAGTGGTGGGGATATAAAGTGCATAATATTTTTTAGTAAATTATTGGATATACCGTCTTCACCGGCAGATGTGGTATTTTTTAATTTGCAAATAGCATCGTTTACATCGAGGCTGTTTACAGGTTTAAAGAAGAAGCAAGTAGAGCTCAGAGGAATGTTGGACCTAATAAATTCAGAGTCAACAACGTCACTTAAAGAGTTTGTCGCTTTATTAGCAGCTTCAGAGAAGTAAGTGTTGAACTTATTCGCAGTATCTGAATGGTTCAGGATAACATTTCCTTCAGTCAGAAGGGAAGGCTCTGCAATAGTTTTACCAGTAGAGTTGTGTATAACACGCCATGTTTCTCTGTTTTTGTTACTAGCATTTCTAATGCGCTCATCATTTGCGGATTTTTTAATTTCACTTAATAACTTTTGATATTTATTATTAAATTGACCAAAAATACCTCTAAATTCAGTGTATTGCTTGGCTAAATCCCCAAAGAGTACGACTTGTTTTTTTTAACTCTGTCAGTTCTGGTGATGTCCAATAAACCCTATTGTGGCTCCCACAATTCCACCATATCTTTTTTAAGGGAAAAGCTTCCACAAATGAAGCCTGCAAAGTGGAATTAAAAGCATTATATGACCAATTGACATCATTTGTAGTATAGACACTATTCCAGGTCTGTTCAGATAATTTGGTTTTAAAATTTTCAATATTTTTTATCGACACAATACGTTGAAAAGAAAACTTGAATTTATTGCTATTAGGCAAATTTTTTACGCACATGCTCAGAAATTGACCCGAGTGGTCTGAAATATGTTCATTAAACACAGAGCTAAAATATTTCGTTGCTTGGTCTTTACATACCAAGATGTTGTCAAGGCAAGTTTTGCTGGAAGAAGTTATTCTTGGTGGTTCTTTAATTAGAGGTATCATATTGTAACTATTCAAGATACCTGTCATATATTTAACATTTTTGTCATTAGTGTTAAGAAAATCAAAGTTAAAGTCTCCTACAACAATTAAGGATTTATTAGTTAATCTAGAATAGTGATGCAAAATTGATTCGAATGTCTCGAAGAAGGCATTTATACTAACATTATCAATATTTGGGGGCCTATATAGTCCAAGTATAACAATATTCTGATTAGTTAATTCAACTGCACAACATTCAATGGTTTTCATGAGAGAAGTAGCCGATGCATATGACGAAATTTTACTTGAAATATTTTCCCTGACATAAATAGCAACGCCACCGTGTTGAAAAGATTCTTCCCGACAAAAGAAGCCTACAAGTTTATAGTTGTCAATGATGCAGCTTTGAATTCTGCTGTCATTCATCCAATGTTCAGTTAGGACCAATACATCCGCAGGATACGATAGATTTTCTAATCGCAGAATTTTGTTGCTTAAGCTTTGAACATTCTGGTGGACAATTCTTATGCAGGCGGCGTCCGCTTTATCCTTCTGTTTCCAAAAAAATTGAAACGGCGAAAATGAACCCCTTTTGGCCAAAATTCACCTAGCGATAGCTCCTCTAGAACTTTGATTGGGAAACCTATTTTGAAGGAACTATAGTCACCTTTACTATTTAGTTTTTCAATCACAAAGTTATCGTCTGGGAAGGAGGCATGGAGATAATCCAACCACATTTCCGGGGTTGCATCTTTATTTTCAATATTCCCGACATAGAACCACGCCCTTTTTTGTACTTCAAAACTTTTCCTATGAGTTTTCCCTGCGACTTATCTACAGGAGCCGATCCAATTTTGTTAGGTGCTTTTCCTGCACGCTTATGGGTATTTTCCGGGGTTTTTCCACGTCCTCCTAGAGGGTCTTTATTATTTTCAAACAGTGAGGGTTCATCGTGCGGTGTGTTATTGATGTCGATTAGTGTATGTGAGTTTTTATCAACGTTTATTGAAGGTGATCTCAATTTCTTGTTGTCAGCATTGCTTTTTTCTGGTTCGATTGATATGTGATTTTTAAAATCCTGCAACTGACGTCGCAGCTCGTCTACTTCCGACTTGAGAAGGGCATTTTCAACTTCTAAATCCATAACTTTCTGGGACATAGCACTTTGTTTAGCTTCCTCAGATTTACACTTTAATGCACGTCTGCACGTCTGAACACCTATTACACCTTGAAGGTACCATGATCTCGGAGATGCTGTACCACTGACGTAAATGTTCGCGCACATTTGGAAAGCGTTCGATCCACAATTCGCGGGCCAAGCTTGAGTTCCCATCCGCCACCCCATCCAGCATTACCATGTCGGCACGCTCTGAATTTGTAATTGTCAAACACAACCGAACACACCCAGCTACGGCAAGTAACTGATACACTACTGTCCTTATCGTCTTTTTGCACTAGTTTTTTGGTTCTTAAACTTCGTCGCTGTGTGCCATTCATTGTAGTAATGATGTAGGTCAAGAAACACTACCAGCGGCGTGTGTAACAATTTATATGTAATTTCAAATAATTTTTTCTCGACACTGCTACCACTTAGGACCGTGACATACTCGTATCGTGAGCTATTCCCCATTTTTTTTGCACATATTTCGTAGTCAGGCTGCATGTAATAAAATTTATTTATTTATTTTACCCAATCCCTTGCTAGTCCTCGCCGCCGCCCGTCCCGTCGCGCCGCGTCACCGCCCGTTCCGCCGCGCCGCTGATTATGTTAACATGAACAATAAAATTGTGTTTTAAAGACAAGTGATACGCCCTCTGACGGCGTATTGCGTACTAACAGACACGTGCGTCTTGGTAGGATACCAAGTTAGTGACGTTTCACGGTGTGGAGTGTTTGAGTGTTATTTTCGGAAAAATAAATCAAACGGAGGCCAATATGGATTGTATTTTGAAAGACATTAATAAAAGAAGATCCACTAGTAAGTCCAATGTTAATTGTTGCGTATATGGTTGCAATGCAGTTATGAAGAAAAACCCTGAACTATTGTATCACCGATTTCCCACTGTGGATCAAACGATGTTATATACAGATGCTTTTGGAAATAAAGTTCGGGTTAAAAGACGTGTTCTCTGGGTGAAGAATATAAAAATGGGTAAACCTGTACGTTCGCATACAAGAGTGTGTTCTAGGCATTTTACAGAAGAAGATTATATCACCCCAAATGAATGTAAGAAATGAAGTTAGGAAATGTTAATACATACTTAATACCTACATGAACTTTCAAACAGGTTGTTTTGCTAGGAGGGTTTTAAAAACAACTGCCATACCAACTCAGAATTTGCCAAAAGCAGGAGAAAGAGATATTGAACACATGATGAAGCAAAAGGAGAACAGGTTGAAGCGATTAAACCGTCGTAGACAAGTAAGTTTAACAATACAAAAAACGTTTAGTAGAGATCTTTTTTAAAATTCCAGATCCAAGAGGAATTAGTTGAAAATGAGACCACCATGAGAACACGGAGAGACAATCTTGAAGTAACAGCTGAGTTAGAAGCTGCGGCAACTCTTATGCAGTTCAGTGTTGCATCATCATCACATTCACAAGAAGTACTCGAAGAATTGAATCAATCTTCCAGTTTTAATCAAACAATCAGTGAAAAATGTGTCAGTGCAAGTACCCAAACTGAAATCACAAACAATGCATTCTCAAAATGTGTTGTTAATCAAAGCACACAAGTACAAATGTCCTGGTTTTCTATTGTTAGTCTTATTCAAACTGAAAAAGTTTTGAAAATTTTGACTGGGCTTCCATCATTTGAATTTTTGGATCAGCTGGCAAATTCGTATTTAATTGTCAAAAAGGATTCCCGTGTAAAACGTTTATCAATTAAAGAACGTATTTTGTTGACCTTTATGAAATGTAAATTGGATTTGACATACTCAGCTTTATGTGTTTTTTTTTTTTATGATATAAGTGTACCAACATGTAAGACTTTTTTTTTTGAAACTGTTGGGGTTTTATCAGATATTTTAAAATTGTTCATTTATTTGCCCTCAAAGGAAAATATCTTACAAAATATACCTATTTGTTTTAAAAATTACCAAACAGTACGAATTGTCTTAGATTGCACTGAAATACCTGTACAAACCCCCAAAAAGTTATGTTGTCGGATAAAGTTATATTCGCATTATAAAAAGCATCATACTTTGAAATATATGACCGCTGTTACTCCGTCTGGATTTATATGTTATGTAAGCCCTTCTTATGGGGGGAGGGCATCAGATAAAAGTATTTTTGAACAGTCAAAATTATTAGACCAATTAGAACCCTATGTAGACCAAATCATGGTCGATAAGGGTTTTTTAATCGACAAGGTATGTGATGAATATGGTATTAAATTGGTAAGGCCAGCATTCTTAAAAAAACAAAAACAATTTGCAAAGTCTGTGGCGTTAAGCTCTAGGGATATAGCTTCCGCTCGCGTACATATTGAGCGTGTAAACGCGAGAATTAAAGTGTTCAAGATATTCAAAAATACTTTACCGTTACATTTAGTCTCCATTGTAGATTCTTTATTTATAATTATATGTGGAGTCGTTAATTTAAGTAAACCAATTTTGAGGGATAATTTATTTTTAACAAGCTGAAATTTATTTAAATAGGAGTATTATATGTAGGTATGCATTTTGTTTTATATTGTACGAAATAAAATAATAATGTAATATACTATGAATTTTTATTCTTTTTTTTAAGACCACACTATTTATTGCACAAATGATGTAACATATTACAAATTAGTTTTACGGAACTATTTTCGACGATCGTTTTGGCGAAATCGGGATCAAATGGGATTGTTATATTTAAAAAACTTCGTTCCTTGGAGAAATATACCACAAAGTCACAATATTTCAAATTTAACAATGCCATACCAAATTGAATTTGACCAAAATAGGGGTGTTTTCTTTTTAGGCTGTAATCCTTATTTAAATAAGGCAATGTGGGCAACACCTCCTCGGCTGATTGTATCTTTCCTACAAATAACTTTATGTTTATGACGTAATTAACATAACTGTGGTAATTAACCTCGATAAGGGCATTTGATTTCCAATAATTTTGTTGGCTGATTCTTCTCAAATATTATTCCATCTGGGGAATAAGACAACCATGGGTACTTGTGGCATATCAATAATCCAATATATTTAATAATAAATTGGGGATTGTCCTGCTGATATGCTTCTAGGGCGCAGACTTCTTGTTCAATTCCATGCAGCATTTCTTTAGTTTGCACAGATTTTTTTTGAAAAAAGCTCTTTGCTTTCTTGTCCCATTCGTTTTTCACATATGTTGATAACGAATAACAACTTGTACCTGCAAAAAAAATTGTTAATTGTGAGAGTACCAAATAATAAAGTAACTGATTTCAGACCTGTTATTCTATGCTGTCTCATTAACTTCCATTGTGTGCCCCCCTGTTTACAGCATGCCGCTTTTATGGCTTCATCTTTAAATGCTTCAAGCAATGTTTTTTCACAGCAACTGTTTAGTGGGTAAATTGTTGTAGTCACATTTTCCCAAAAACTTGAATTTTTTGCGTTTTCTATAATTATTTTTGTGTCTTCAGGTACACATGCATCATTACTTGCACAGGTGTCCATCGTTACTGTTTGAACAGTTCTACGGCCTTTCCTACAAAATATTTTTTAAGGATAATAATTTTTGTTTGAAATAAGACATACAAGTCCTTGCTTATGGTAGAATGTGGACATGCAGTAGTGATGTCTGTGAATATTTTAATTTTAACATCTTCAGCAAATTCTTCTGCAGGCCTAGTCATTTTTACCTTAAAACACTGCGTTTCTTTTAAGGGCTTTGGCAAATAGTTAGCCTCCGTTTTCGGTTTTCTGTCTTTCCAAAGGCACTTCACATCTGTAGTTGCTAACACTGGAAGATTTTCTAGTGCCGTCCTGAAACAAAAACAAAACCACACAACAGAAATTACTTCAACAGTAAAAATGGTGTGTAAACTCAACTCAATTGCAATTAGCTGATATGCTTTGATAAACATTTGGTCATAATACAACCTGGTGCAGTACAGAAGAGTAGCTGAAACGTGCTTACAACAACTTGACATGCCAGCCTTACAAGAGCACTGAAAACTTTCTATGGCAAGTTTTGCGTTCATAACACGAAAAATTCCCCGTAATTCATGTGGCTCCTTTTTAATGGCACTACTTTGTAAGCAATACGCTACTATATCGTATTTATCTGAATCTTGTTTCTTCAGACCACACTGAATAATGTGGTTCGCTTCCAAGACCCTTTCACCTTCCAGGAAACAACGGCTGGTACTTGTAGCATTTAAAAATTCAAACACAGTGGACAATTTTAGATACATTGTGTCTCTAAAAGATAAAAATAACACACACAACCACTTAGACGAACCGGCACTCTCTTAATAAATGAGACTTCATACTGTTTGCAGGTGGTTTGCAGCGATTTCCCACGCGGTTATCCTACTATTGTCAAACGCCGAATACTTTTTGACAGACAAGATGCGCGCGAAACTTTAGTTTAAAATGTCAATAGTGTGTTGTGCGAATCACACGGCAGCACGGCTATATGTATGATGCGTTGGTACAATGAACACTGCAGAGCTCGAGATGTGTTTGAAGAAAATGAGTACGATGACGAAGACGACGCCATCATCACTTGTGGGTCTATTTGCAAATAACCGTTTACCATTTCTCGTTAGTAGACCCGCATCTCTTATAGTCAACGACACTGGATGGGCATTTATGTGGACGAAAACAGTCTCGGCTATTTTTTTGACAGTTTTGGAAGACCGCCTAATAAAAATGTGGGGAAGTTTTTCAGACGAAATTGTGGTTATTGGAATTTTAACACGTTGCACATACAAAACATCTGGTCTGAAGTGTGCCGGATGTATTGTGTATTATTTCTTTTAACTTTGTACGAGGTAAGGCTGTCGATAATTTTTTTAAGATGTTTACAAATGATACTAAGCGAAATGATAACATTTGTAAGAAACATTTCAATATGTATTTTTAAAATAAAAAAAAATCTATAAAAACAGTACATCTATTTTTTATCTATTTCAACAGACTGCAGTATGATTAAAACAAATTTAGAACTGTAATAAATAAATAAACTCTATATTTCATTAATCACATATCACATATAATGCATTTTAATATTTAATTCAAATATCTACAATAATCTTAAAACGTATCAAAATAATGAAATTGCAGCGGACCTAATATAATTAGCTTCGATAACCGTATGGTAGAGTGTCAAAGCTGCCCTGTATGCGACGTCTTTTGGTGTAACTCATACCATAGGTTTTATGCGCATTTTTGGTAAGTACATTATACCTTTTATTACGAATGATAGCTTTGTCACTGATTTGTAAAGAAACGGCAGGGTTTTCTAAGATCATCGTCTTAAATGCTTCAAAATTAACTTTTTGCGAATTTGCATAATGTAAAGTAATACCCTTTACTTTGCACACCGTATCATACGTGTTTTCAGAGGCTTTCCAAAACTTATACGCGTAATTCTTTGGGCCGCCACTAACAAATTGTGCAATATAAGAACTATCCCGGTACTCGGCCATTTCGTCTATAAGATAAAAAAGATACTGTCAGTGTCATAATACACTACGCGTCTGTCTAGCTGCTCTAAGTATTTATCAGTGGCGGTTCGTGACTGTCTGATGTGGTGAGGCGATGATAGAAGTTTGACAATAATAACATTAATAATAGAACCTAGAAAACATATCAGAGACAAATCTCAGATCTGAAGAAGTATTCCTTGAAACGAGCGGAAAGAAATGAAATGTTTCGCACCATCACAAGAGCAGATTTGAACCACACACCCTTAAATCTGTCGAACACCGAAGAAATCCACACCCCCCACACAATAGACAAAATAATAAGTGGGCTAAAACAAAAACAACTACATGGAAAATTCTACAAAGACTTAGAAGAATCTCATGTTAATAAGAAGATGTCATTGATTTGGTTATAAAAATCAAGTTTGTATGCCGAAACAGAAGGATTTGTGTTTGCTATTCAAGACCAAGTAATCAATACCAAGAATTACAGAATCATCAAAGATCCGAACATAAGAAACGACTGCTGTCGCCTCTGCAAAGCAAAACCTGAAACGATCCAGCACATAATCTCCTCCTGCAGCATCCTAGCACAAACTGACTACAAAGCTAGACACGACAACGCCGCCAAAATCATTCACAAAGAATTAGCAACACTTATGAACTTAATCGAAGATACGACACCCTATTACAATTATATTCCATCTCCGTTCCTTGAAAATAACAAATACAAATTATACTGGGATCGCACAATGCTTACAGACTTAAACATTACAGCTAACAGACCAGACATCATACTTATCAAAAAACACACGAACGAAGCCATTCTCATTGGCATTTCTAACACAAACAACATTATTCAAACATACCACACCAAGATTTCAAAATATCTACAATTATCGATAGAAATGAAATCCATGTTGAATCTTAAAAAAATTTCAATCCTACCCCTAGTTATCTCTAATGTAGGTGTTCCAAATAGCTTAGTTGAGAATTTAAAGTCTTTACATTTGAATGATTCAATAATTGTCAAAATTCAAAAAGCTCTTTTGTTAGGAACATGTCATATTGTTCGTAAGTTTCTTGAACAGTCTGATCATGTCAGTCAGATTAGATTAGCACCAGTAGGTCAGAGTAGTGTAGGTCACTTTCCAAGTGATGCGCGGATAAATGGTCGGTAGTTACGCTAGACTTTTGGGGATGGGGTGAGATTAGAGAATAATAGCAGACTAATTTGTATGCTGTAATGCTAGAATCTCGAAAATTGTTTTGTTAATCTAACAAATGCATATCATTACTTGGTCTTAGTACCCGTAATGATAGAAGTCTTGCCTGAATGCCGGTCATTTCCGAATCAGTGGTGGGTCTTAATATTAATAATCAAATTAATTAAATCAATGTGATTAATGCATATTACTTAGTTTTAGTAATTAGTAATAATAATAATATTAATAATAATACCCATACCACATTTAATCAACAATGTTTTTACAAGTCAAAATTTTGTTCAAACTAACACTTTCTTGGAGGGATTCGGGAATAGTTGTGTTCCTTTGTAAAGGTTTTAGGCCCATGAAATTTTTAATGTATACTTTGGAACTTTCATGTAACTTTGCACTTCGGATGAAATTATTTGAATCGTTACATCCCGGGACGTCAAATATTACGACAGAGCCATTTACATGTTTCGTACCAAGCTGATTTAAAAGACTAAGAGTACTGACGATTCTGTCGCTTATCAATGGAAGTTAAATGAATTAACGGTTTTGACTGCTCAATATTTAGCAAAATTTGCCGACGTTCTAGCTCGGTTCGCCGTGAAAACGGCGTTTCAAGAAGGAACATGACGATATGGTACTCTGGATTCATT